TGGGATTACAGGTGATGAGTCAGGACAATCATGTTCGGGAAAAGACTAGAATTTATTGTTTAGAGATTTAAATTTTATTTACATGTATGGCTGTTCTTCACCTACCTTCACATTTGGCAACCCATTGATGATCTTTACTTCGTCCAATATCGAGCGAAAGAATAAAAAACTGTTTATAATATTTGGTATTTCTCTTTGCATTCTAAGGATATCACTTGGTCTGCATTTCTTCCATATACCAGGTGTTTATATTTCATGTAGTTGGTTTAATTAGTGTATTTAGGTGTTCGTTTAATTAGTGTATGATATGTAGAGCTAAGATTGTCTGTGTCTGATCTAAAATTCATTGCATTCTGATGTTTTTTAATTTGTATCATTTCATGGATTCTTCTCTTATTATAATTGTCTTTATTGATTAAGATTTTTGTGTTATCAAAATCAAAACTATGTAACATTTGTGGCGCATGTTGTGCTAATGCTGTTCCATTTTCATAACCTTTCTTAAGCTATATTTATGTTCGTATATTCTTGAAAAACACCGAAGCGTATTTGTAACATTTTAAATGATAAACAATAAAATTGACTGGAACCCAGGAATTTCTTTTGAATAAAAATAAAAATTTATGTATAGCTTAAATTAAATGAACATGAGGCAACACAGTTATATTGATTTATTAAAATGAAAGTAAGTACTCCGTTTCATTTAACGTTGTTTTCTTGATGCTTCTTTTGCTAATCTTGTTAAGTAAGCATCCCATGAAAATTTGTGGTCATCTACGAAATTTTTTGTTTTCTTGTATCATTCACGTTCTTAAATTATTTTATTTAATGGTCTTCTAGTGTCCCCTGTATACATTTATTATAGTCGCAAGTAATTTGGTAAAAATAATTTCTTTAATTTTCAATTTGGTCCTGTGGTTTTGATTTTGAAATTTAGCTTTTAATTGTATTTTCGGCTTTGAAAATACAATAGGTGTAACACTAAGTTTGTTACCTACTGGTATAATTTTATCTGAAAGCCCGGGAGGAAATAGAATAAAAATGTTTTTAAACGGTTTATTTTGTTTTAATTGAGGATTTTAAATTTCATTCAAACAATTGTCAATAAATAAATTTGGGGAACTATTGAAATTTGAAACCCTTTTAAAAATTGTTCTGTATTAAGTTAAATTAGGTTCATTTTAAATTGTGTATGTGTGTATGTATTGTGTATGTGTTATGAAATGTTATGTTTGATGTTATACGAAATTCTTCCTGTGTTTCTTCTGTGGTAAATTTTAAATTGTTTCCTCTATATCAAATAATAAATCAAATTTTGGAACGTTTCGTAATGTAATTGAAAAATTTAAACAATTAGAAAGGTCAAGTTTTTCCACATCAGTTAATGGTTTATTTCAAGAATGTCTCAGAAGCGGTTTCAAACCTTTTAGTTGTTATCAGTTCGGATTAGATTGCAAATTGCTATATAGAAACGTWTATAGAAAAATWGATTTATTTAAGCACATAATAATTTTTGCATTWGTTAAACYGTAAGGCGACTATTAYTTTATTTTGGTATTCTAAAATTCCCTGTTAGAATCTAAAATGAAAAAAATAGATAACACTTTTAATAAACGTAAAAARGAAGAAAAATCTATACTTTGTGAAAMAYTGACTRTGCGAAGTTTATTAAATTTAAAATTTTTTAAAAGCTTTTAAAATMTGCCACTGTTCGTTCAAAGTTTAATTTGTCGCTCAACTAAACATTTGAGAGTTAATTAAGAATACATTTTGCTCGAAAATTAAATAAGTAACGCAKAAACTAGTGCTTTTAAAGTTGAATTTTTCCACTTWTCCAGTACGAGCACCAAAAGACGAATTACAAAAATAATCCTTCGCTTCCTACCTTATGAGAATAAATAMAAGTTTGCAAACTYTATTTGTGTTGATCTATTGTCGATTATTACTGGATTACTTGGAYATTATTAATACGAAAAATAAAATTAGTTTAGAATCGCAAATACTCAATAAAAAACTTTTTTAACTATTATTTGGAGGTATTTTCAAGTTAATAAGTGTGAAGCGGAAAACGCGAAATGGCTCAATTTTCTGAATAAGTACTTTGGTATTCAAACAAACACAGTTAATTTAAAATTAAATACATTCAAGCCGAAAATCAGTGTGTAACCGTAAACGAGATTCTAAAAAGGATTAAGATTAACTGAACACACTCTACCATCTACCATGTAAGGCGTAGTCCGAGCCGTAGTTGCGATTTCTTAAAGTGAACAAGTCTGCTAAAGAGTTGAACAATCAAAGTAATATCAGTTTCATAGAAAACAAACCCAGACTAAAAGTAATTTTTGCTTACAAATTTGTTGCCTAGCTAATTGGACAAATTAAGTCATTGGTCAAATTTAGTCCAAAGTTTCAAATTCAAAGACAAAATTCAGATTTAAAAGTTGCGTCGGAGTTTATAGAAAAGTCCGAGTTGGAAAAGAATATCATCTATCATCTAAACTAACAATTTCAGGTCAGAGAAAATATTTTGAGTGGAAAAAGAATAAAATTTCGGAGGTGGCGCCTTGAGATTGAACTCAATATTTTTAGCTACACTTCAAGAAAATTTGATTACGTGATATGCACTATTTTTTGCCTTTGCGTTCATTTTTCCAAGTCTTAAATCCGCATTCTACGAGAAAATTTAGACTTCAAACAATATAATAAATACTTCAGTGTTAGTTAATCAATTAATTAACTTATGTATTGTCTGTAACAAGTATATTGTCTTCTCAGAGAATTTTACTAAATGACGATTTTTGGACTAAAAGTTATCCAAACCATAAATAATCAAGCAGACAATTACATGTTAAACCGAAGGTAATTTTCCCTGAATCTCTTAATAGTAAGTGAACCTCTCATACAAAGCTATAACGAATAATTAGCAATTGCTAACCGTGTATGGTTTTATTTTTAATTTAATCAAGTGTAGTTAGTTTCTAAAAATGTTTAGGTCACATTGTTGCGGCAAGAATTTGCCTATTGAGAAATAGGAATTCATACAGCATCAGTAAAGGAGGCCTGCCTATGCATTTTACAAATATCTGAAATATTTGTTTTGCATAGGTATCCTGAAACCGATCCCAACAACCCTACCGGGAAGTGAAACCCTTTCATATTAAAGCTGAATAATTTCTTCTTTTAGGAGTATTATAGTAGCAATTTTGTAGATACATAAATCCTGCAGATCAACAGGAAAAATCAGTTCGAACTGCCGAAACATTGTTCAGTTGTTTAACGAATGAATAAATGAACCGATCGCCATTAATATATTTACTTAACGGATATTTCCGGGAGTGATTGCACTGTTGTAAACGTGAACGATGACAATTATTCTGAAAAAATACAGACGAGTGTTAAAAGTTATATTATAATGTTTTAATTTATAGGTGATTCGGAGGTTTGGGCCTGTCGTTTACCTCCAGCCCTCGCCCCCGACTCAGACGATATGGTGAGTAAATTTATTCAGTTAATTTGTATATAAATTTTCTTTTAATCGCCGAATTTCGACCTTATTTTGCCTGAAGTGAAGGAATACTTCAGTTCGTAAAACGATTATTTTGCAGCAGAGCAAACAAAATTATATAAAGCCGGGGCTATAAAAATTCGGAGAAATTATTCTTTTAAAACAATAAACTGCATAGTGTTCTAAGATATGTGATATATGTGAATATTCTAACTAGGTTTTTTTGCGTAAGTCTATCCATGAATTGGTTTAAATGTAACATTTTTAGCAAAATAACGGGTCTAAACTCCAAAAAATCCATAAACTTTGATTCAAATGTTTCAGTGTTCTTACAGTCCTTCATACAGTCCGAAATAATTACTAATAAAATAGCCTAAAAAATAAATTGGGTTTCTGATGGTTAAGGGAAGAAAGTTTTCTATCGAGTATGATTTCAAGACTTCCTGGCCTTGACGCTTGTTTTCAACAATATTTCTGTAGGAGAAAAACTGTAGGTAATTGATTGACACTGCAATATAAAAATTACAACAAACGTCTTGGTTTAAGATAAAAGGATAAAAAGAAAAACGGATGTTTCTGCTAGGATCAGCATAATTGAACTATAAAAGAAACCGAGCATTGACTTATAAGATGGTCTTAAGAGAACCGATAGATCGTCTTTGAACCTCCATTCAAGTCGTCAAATTCAATTATTTCCGAATAAAAGTTTTTTCAAAAGCTTGACTGATCTTTACGTGAGAATATTTTAACCATTAAAAAAAGCAAGTTTTTTAATATGTTTCATATTATTCAATTTTATTGAACTATTGATTGATGAACCTACAACTTTAGCCAGAATGGTTCAGAATGAACATGACAAACATTTTATTGGGTCAATCGTTCACTCAGAATGTTCTTATCAGTTATGAGCCAGCGCATGAGTTTTGAGACATTTTCGAAAAATTTATTATGACAGAAAATCTGAAAACCCAAACCAGAATAGAATGGAATAGAACCGTTTCACAGCGCAGACAACTGAAATCTGTTTCTGGAGCAAAGCTCGGGCTAATAGGCTTCCGTCGGGCGAATCAGCCCTTTATCCAGCACATTTAAATTTAGATTGGGAAGCTTTGACTTTGTCGAGATAGATATTCTAGGGGCCACGATACGACTATCTACGTGAACTAGACCGATCTTCTTTTTTGATTACCGTAATATCGCTGAATGATGATGCGCTTTATTTAACAGCGTAATTTGCTGCTAGATGACACGATATTGCGCAGAATGAAATGAACAACAGAAACAAAGAAAGTAAGATAAAATATTGTGGAATTAAACTCTAAATATTTTCATTTTTATCTTTAATAGAAAAATATGATGGCAAAGTTTGCACAAGATTTAACAATAGACAAATAGACAGAAGCATGTTTTAGTAATGTTACGTCGTCACCAAACCCTAAAAGAGGCAGGGCTTTAGAACAGACTTTCAAAACGGTTGTCCAAATAATCCTCCAAAGAAAACATTTTCCAAATATAGAATCTCTGGAACAAGTTACTTGTATAAAAGCAAATTCAAACATGTTATTAAATAAAAAGTAAAGTTTTATAATTGAGCCGCCGGTCGAAAAACGCTTTAAATTAGCCAAGAAAAATTAACATTTAAAAAAGAACACGAAGAATAACGTGACTGGCAAGTGTTCTCTCTCAAAGGAATGTTGAAACGCATTTTAAAGCAAAAAAGTGAGAGATTGCTTGTTATTTTCGTAAATAGTCGCTATAAATGATTTTGAGTTTGGCTTTGGTATTTGATTGAAAAAAGACAGAATAATTTGATTCAATTTCTCAATAGAGCTTAGTTGTTGGTGCATCAATAGATTAATTGAGCAACTTGCTTTACTTATACATACAAAAATCCATTTAATAAATGTTATATTTTAAATAGAACAGAGAATAAAGTTAGTCAACTGCTTGATGCCTCAGGCAATGAAATTACATAAAGTGTTTTAGCTGGTTTTAGATTAGCTTGTTAGTTGAATGCAGTAAATCCGATTTTTCGGGCTTTGGAAATGCTTGCTAATTTATCCTGAACCGAAATTTACCCCGTGCCTGACAGAAACATTACCAAAACTAATTCAGTTGGCAGTAATATTGAATGAATGCGAAGCTTTTGCTTTAAATATTTGAAATAGTTTCATTCTTCATTTACATTTATTTGTCCAGGTTTATGTATTTAGTATTGCAATACAAATTCCTTAAAAAACGTAAGGACGGTGCCACTAACTCTTTAACAAACATCTAAGCCGACTAAGATATTTTTCGAGTTAATATTGCATTTATTACTACGCCACAACTGTCTGGCCGTGTCAGGTCTTGTCTATTTCGCCCATCATAACTGAACTTTATAGTGGTAATAAAACGGCCTTATACGAACTTTCACCTGTTCGTTCTGCCATAAAAGTGTAAAAACTTTACGGCAAAACCCGAACAATAAGATACGACTAACTTAAATATAATGCACGCGGAATGGGAGATAAATAAAATTACATTTCAATTTGTGGGTTTATGATTTTTGGAAATTAAGTGCTGTGGACTATCATTTCAGGTTTTTAAATCATTCTTAGTTCTAAGTTTCCCGCCACTTCTTCGGAGTCAAAACACAATTATTGACATTTCTTCTTATTAAAAAGCCGACTTTTACCTGGAAATTTGAAGAAGACGCTGAAGATGTTTCTGCCACTTTACATGAAACAAAAGGCATTTGATTAAATTTGATATAAATCAGAAAACATGCGTGAATTTAAAAATTACATTATATTTTAAAATGGGATTAAAAAAAAATTACTTCTAATACTTGAAAAAATATAATTCGAAGGAAAGCGACTCTCCTCTTCTGCTTAGCCAGAAATCATTTTAAAAGTAAAACTACACATTAGTTCGGAACTTTACACATTAGTGAGGTTCTCTACTAGTGTGCTTAACATAATAATAAGATATTCAGGCCAGATTAATAAAAGTTACGTTAAACATTTCATGCGAGTTGTGTTTACGTTAAGGTGCTTTTAGTGAATTATAAGTAAATCGATTATTTGCGCACACTGAAAAAGAATAAAAAATAAACATGATTATGTTAAATTAAAACTTTTACACATAATTATATATAACAAATCTTCATAACCTGCAAGAACTGCTTGAATAAACCAAACTGCTGCCACCAAAATATATTTAATTAATAAAGTAAGAATGTAAGCAAGTGTTAAGGAGTTGCGCTAAGGGTACTTATTATCGCATTGTTGAGGGACAGGCCACATAAAGCGGAGTCGCAAACCACCCTCTAGGTAGTTTTTAGACAGTTGGAGAAAATAATTCCGAAAGTTGTTGTTTCCAGCAAATCAAACTATTAGTAATATGAAATGAATCTACTACGATGCGGAAACTCTAATTGCAAAATTGAAAAACTAGAATGTCATGGGAAAATGAGGCGAAATTCGTGTAGGATCAAACTTCCATCTAATTAATGGTCATCCATTCATTACGATCTGATTAATCTGCCAAAGGGATTCGGAATGGTAATTTCAGAGCGTCCCAAGAAAACATGGGGAGTGCTGAAACACCGATTAATCGACCATTTAGACATTTAAAAGCGTGGCAAATTTACAAGTCCGAATAATTCTCCATAGTAGTACTGAGGGACTCTGAAGAGTAGACTAGAGACTTCCTAATGAACTTCTCTGCACTCTTATTACTTGTGTGAAGAGACATAAAAATGCTGTTTTCAAAACTGAAGATAATTTACTTTGATTGAAGGTGTTCTACTGAATTCAGGTCACAAACCAACTTTTTTTTGATAGTGGAGTGCTGGAGCTTTCATTAACTGTTCAAATTCTATGCAAAAAAATCTCAATGTTACTGATGGAACTGCAAAAATGTGTTGAGTTGCAAAAAATTGTTTTAACTTACGAGGAAATAATTTGTGTATTTAAGTTAGCTATAAAAAGCGGATTTATGACCACCGTGCAATGAGTTATAGCTATTAAAAAATACATACTTGAAATATATTACWTGCGTGGTCTAGTCTTTTTTATTTTGAAAYATGTTTCTTTATAGCTTATTAAAACATCTGTTATTATACAGAGTGGTCTAATAAAATACACTTTTTCCCCTTTTTTTGCTCCTGATTCTTTATTACATTTCTAAAAATATATTAGGAACCGTTAGCACTTCAGCACTGAGCTCTCTCTTACTGGACTTAAATCTATTGGACGTGCGAGTTGTGGATATTTTAAGGTACCAATGGGTTTCTTCGCTTAACTTTTAGGCCACTGGAAAAACGAGCATTTTGGCAGCAAGTTCTGAAGCGCCAATGCATTTTATACAAAAAGAGTGTCCTCAGTTTAGGCTCTAAAATGTTTGTTAGCAAAAGTGTGTGTGTACAGTTTAGATGTTCCATTTTTCTTCTTCTAAATGTATGAATTATTGCTCTAAAGTTAACTGTGTGGAGCTTAATGATTTACTGCCCCCCASAGTTTCTGGATCACTCATGCAATCTTCGTCGTGGAAATATTYMRTTTTAATTCCRTTCTACAGTTTGGAAAACGCAACAAATRCAGGCTTTGTGCATATTGTCGATACCTGGCTTTTAGCACCSACAAAACCATTCATTTTATCACACTTTAATAGTTTCAAATATTTGCAAATTGTTAAAATTTGAAAAAAAAYTGTTTTAACCAGCAAAATGTTTGTTTGTGTTCATAAAAGCCYATTTGTTGCGAAAACAGTTGRCTTTGRCACAAAAAACCAAGAGAAGTTTTTGTGTAATCTTGACACGCGCTTCCAACGCTCATTTGCACGAAGTTAAAATGCTAGTTTTCCAGTGGCGTAAAAATTAAGTGAAAAACTCATACAATCCCTCAAAATCTCCTGAATTCCAGATTTCCAATGAATTCGAGTAAAGGTTGAACTGTGTGTTAAAAAGTGTACAAAAGCGCACTTTTGTAGTACACGAGGTT